ACTATATTTGATGATTTACCGATAATGGGCCAGAAGGCAAACATTCCCATAGACATGTAAACACATTTTCCCCAACTTTTATGACACCTAACCCCAATTTTAACTTATCATACTCCACGAATTTTGGAATTTTTTTAATAATAATAGTGGACCCCGTGCTATCGATCCAACTTATTAGGGAGACATTTAAATGTCCATTATTGTGCTAAACTGTTTGAGAACGCTCGGCCGATTAAAATCATCCTACTAGATAAACACATTGTAAACATTCGATGGATGTGTAGGAAATAACTTCAAAAGTATTTCATCCTATATTTCATTTTCATTTCATTTCAGAAACATTTATTTCCACATGAATAAGCACTTTAGAAAACAAAACAATTGTTACATGAAAACTACTAAGTGGAGGCATTACACAAGAAGCCGGAGCTTATAAACGGAATGCCTTAAACACACACAAAAATATATAAATAAACAATACTGAAAAAGGAAGACTAAATTCAAAGACAAAACACAACAAAACAATGAAACAGAAACAGACAAACAAACGAAGTGGACATAAACTTAATAAACTTTACAGACGGACATATTAAACATACTAGAGAGACAACGACACAGTTTATAAAATGGACGATGCAAGCAAAATAATAAGCAAAAATATTCATCTGGTTTTGTCATACTGACCATTCGAGAAAAAAAAAAGAGATTGAAATATTAAGTAAAAAGTATCAGCTCCTTCAAATAAAGAATTAATTGCTCATATTATGTTCATACCGTATGATGCAGGGCATTCCGCATACGAGAACTCTTCCACGGTCACCTCAGCAAGCATCAAGATTGCATTAGTGACACCAGGACTGAGAGGATCTATGTCCAAACTCACGTATCTGGACAACCGTGCTGGGTCACACGAGAATTCGTTAACTGCCCCATTTGCAGACTGTTCAGCAGTTGCTGGTGAACCGCATGGTTGATTCTCTGAATAGCTGGAACCCAGACCTGCGCGTACCACCGCCCCAAGGAATCGATTCTGCCCTTTAGAACGAGAAAAAAAAAATATATATATGCAATTTAATATTACTCTTCTTTATTCAATAAAAGGGCAGTGTCGTTTGGTGTGCTATGGAACAGTGTCTATATTGTACATTGACATATTGACAATTTGCAAAATCAGTTCGTGCTTCATAGGGACCCAAAAATGTTTATTTTCTCTCGATTCGACCAGCAAGCTCTTTTCATGCTGACTCTTTATGTGGTTTTAGATGGATGTTTTAGGTACATGACTTTGTGTATACACACTTTTTTGTACGATGCCGTTTTCCACGCAGGATGCGGAAAAAAATCTCAAGTTTCTTTCACTAGTCAACAAGGCTCTCATTCAGAGACTGTTGAGTGATGACTTTACATTACCAAAATCACGGAACTTTTCTTTCCTGTTGTGGTATGATGCTTTTCAAATGTATTAAGCTTGAACATTTTCTACCAAGATCTGAAAGAGCAGTGGAATCCCCATTTTGTGACGGGGTAAAAAAAAAAAACACCTGCTTCAGGTAAACTAATTGCTATTTTACTCGCAACAGCCTATTTTAGAGTTTTCGAATGAATCCGAAAAAAAAAGTAGAAAAAAACTCTTTTCAAAATTGTGGCAAAGGTCACGACAGTTTTGTTTAAACCAAAAAGATATTATCAACAAACAGCCGTTTTGCTGCTAAAAATGAAGAAAACAGAACACGCATCAGATTTATAATACGTTGCGCAGCTACGAGAAATTTCTTGAAATTTAGCATAAGTACGCAACAAATCGTTGCCTTAACACCCGCGCAGTGGCGTCACCAGACTTTTCAGTCTGGGGGGGCACAGGGGGGGCACCAGCATTTGATGGGGGGGGGGGCACTTAGGTGGATACGGATCGCCGTCCTGGGGGAGGGGTCTAAGGGGAGGGGGTGCCCCCCTCCCCTTTGGAAAATTTTCGCATACGGAGGATGGGCTAGATGCAAAATGGTGCCACATTTGCAGCTCATTTTAAGAAAATACGAATTACTGTGCTTCTTTGTCCTTATGAAAAACCAACTCAGATGATGGGAGTTGAATATAACAAACTATATATATATTTTTTTACCAACCCAAATCTCAGATGGGGGGGCACTCGGGGGGGCACTAAGTTTTCCAGGGGGGGCACGTGCCCCCCCTGGCCCCCCCTTGGCGACGCCACTGCACCCGCGTAAACATGGCGTAAGTTATGCACTGTTTCGTGAAAATGGCTGGCGGTTCGTGAGGGATAAAACTAATTACAATCAATCATACCACAACAGTCTTGTCGGAGAGTGACGGTGATTGTACCCAAGCAGTGCTCCAGACCCAAATCCACTTGCCACCACGGATGCGAATCACCGGCTGTAATATGACGGGTAGAAACGAATGGCTTAGTTAAGTTGAAACAACAATATGATTTTGTATCTAATTCAGAGTAGGATAACTCATCGTGTAGAATGAGGCAATTACTTTTAGGCCAAAAAAAAAAATAAGTCGGTCTCTGGTCAGCGTGCGCGTCGATTTTAATCATGCGCGTCGATCTTTTTTTTTTCCAAAATGTTCCGCGGTAGCTCCAACAGCGCCCTCTATTTCCGCACCTCCTAATTTTTTTTTTACCAAAGAGCACCAAGGAATGGGAAATTGCACCAAGGCAAATGATCGAAAGCACCAAGGCAAATTATGGAGGACACCAATGTACATGAGGACACCAAAAAAGCAAAACAGTACCCCACCTTGTCTGTACAATCCAAGCTTGAAGAAAAAGAAAAAAAAGCCCAAAAAAAAAAAAAAAAGCCGCGTGGCCGCGTCAATTCCGGAACTTTGGTCTGACCAGAGACCGAATATTTTTTTTTTTTGGCCTTATGTTCATCGTATACTTTTCAATTTCTTAACACTATACCAAAGTTTGATCGGATTGTTTTTTTTTAATTGCATATGATTACTGTCATTATACACAAGGAAGAATAAACACATTTTAATGTCTCACGTATAGTGTGGAAGAAAGTATTGATGTCGCCATCGATCGCGTTCTCTGCAGCAAACGAAGCGGTGCTTTTGGAAATCGGCAGTGGCTTTCCAGCAAGAGAAAAAGCTGCGAAGGGAACAAAAGAAAACATACGATGAAAAGAAATCAAAGAAAGTGGCATTTTTTTTTCATAGGATGACTTTAATAAAGCACTTAAGAGATTGACAATACCATGGCGAAACATCCTAACTAGGAACACCATAATAGGGCATTATGGCCTGAAATTCCCGAAAACTGTGTGTTTTGGACCGTTATACTATTTGAAATGTCTGGTTGAAAGGTAATTAACCTAATGACTTATTGTTCCTGGAAAAAAAACACCTGGTTGTTTACATCGGACGCGGCAAATTGTATACGTACGTATACGTATTTCCAGCCGTTTCCTTCAAGTGACGTTGTCACAACTAACACTCAACTAGTACTCAGGAGCAACATTTTTGAGAGTCAAAATATTAATGCCTCTGCTTCAGTACTGCGTTAACAGCCTCCAGAGGGTTATACACACGCAGGCGTAGTGCTGGCAGCAAGATCATTTATAGTTTAGGCCAAAAAAAAAAGTCTCCGGTTTCTGGTATGGAGCTTGCCCAAAAAGTGGTGCGGCGACGCGGCTTTTTTTTTTTTTTTACCTGATTTGTTTGCTTCAAATGTGTGCTGACTGCAAATGGTGCCCGACTAAACTTAGTACAAATATATGGGAGTCCAGAGAGGCCACATAAAGCTTATTCTCGACCATAACCCAATCTAAAAACATGTTAAAATTGTGCAGCAGCAGGATTCCAGTCAAACCAGTGAGTTTGGCGGTTTTGAGACATCATCTTTCATTGAAAAAAAAAACTTTTTCATTTTGCCGACGCGCATGGCTACGGCGACGCGCGCGCATACCAGAAACCGGAGACTTTTTTTTTTGGCCTTAGAGGGTAAGCGCGGTTTTAAGAGGTCTTTGTCATCCAAGGCTAACAAGTCTGATTTAAAGGTGTCAGCAGAAGTGGCTTCCTGTATGGAGAGTGGAAGAAGGTTCCACTCTTGGATTGTACGTGGGATGGGGGAATGTTTGTTACAGTCTTTTTTGGTATGAAGTGGGATGAACGTAGAGTTTTGTGTGCAGCCCCTAGTTGATCTATTGGATGTTTTGGGTAGTTTATCTTCCTGGAAAGCTACTTTGCTATTTATGGCCATTATGGCCGAAATTCGTTCTCGCATGGTTCGAATTGCAAGAATAACACAGAAAAACCCAGATTTTACAGGATGAATGCATAATATGGACGTTTATATCCTACCTTCAAATGCTCTTTCTAATTAAAGTATTTCGCTTAAAGCGCGTTTTGTTGCCAATTGTGCGCATTCCTGGATGTAATGTCAATTTAAACATTAAAGGGAGATCTTCTGAGAGCATGTAACCGTCAATAACAGATAGTGACTGATATTTGGTTCTACATCACTTACCTCCATCAGTAGCGCACTCCAAATATGGATACTCCAGCAAAGTTACCTCAGCAAGCATCAACAATGCATTAGTGACCCCAGGCATTGATCGATCTATGTCCAAACTGACGTATCTCGTCAACCGTGGTGGGGCACACAAGAAATCATTAACTGCCCCATCGGCAGACTGTTCAGCTGAAGCTGGTGAACCACATGGTTGGTTTTCTATGTAGTTTGAGCTAAGACCGGCACGTACAACAGCACCAAAGAAACGGTCGTTTCCTAAAAGAGAGAAAATCGAAAAGATCACAATCAAAAAGATACACGTTGCATGATTAAGATAGTGATGGCATGCTGCGACCAGACCAAATCTTCACACCTCACACAAAAACATCGCATCTGCGTATAGAAAGTTACTACCTCCATCGTTTAATATATGGCTCAAGTGTCATGCATCCCTAGGCCAGTGAGTTGTGAGTAACAACAAATTCTATATTCTTTCCAGTAATTCTATATTTACCTTCTCCATTTGTCGGCTCTGAGCACTCCACCCCAGCGTCTTCGTGATGCCCGCAGTTGTGCTGCTGTATGCCATTATGCGAGCAGTCGAAGATGGAACTCTCTTGCCCCGTGCATGCCACATCGTCTAGCTGTATCGGTCCCTGTCCCTGGCCGTACGCGGCCTCTGAGGCCGCTGTCACGGCCGCTCCGAAGCCCAGCTCACGGCAGACCACGTTGGCGTCGTTCAGGTCCCACTGGTCGTCGCACACGGTGCCCCACTGGCCGTTGGCGTAGACTTCCACTCTCCCTTCGTACATGGACCCTCCGTCCCGTAGACGAACTGCCGGATAGGTAAACGGATATTAATTGGCAATAAGCAACAAAGAAAAAAGGATATCTGCATTTTGTTCGTAGAAGATAATGAAATTAAGTAGAGCTGGCATAGTAACTTTGTTCCAAGATGGTCCCATCTCGAAACTTGCAATCTATGCCGCACTGTCGTTTCACTGCTTTTACAGAAACAAATTAATCCCTTTTTTGAACTTATCATTTTTTTCAAAGTGCCAGAAATAGTGAAGTTATTTTATTAGGGCAGGTACGGTAGGCGTATAGGTGGAGTAGACTGTTCATCTGTAGCTGGTGAACCACATGGTTGGTTCTCTATGTAGTTTGAGCTAAGACCGGCACGTACAACAGCACCATGAAAACGTTTCTCTCCTAGGAGTGAATTGATCGAAAAGATCCTTATCAAAAAATAAAACACTTGATGAATAAAGGGCAAGACTTAGAATAAACCTTCAAAAATATATGTGAAAACTGTTTTGGATTCTTACATGTGAAGTTGAACCGTGTATAAGCACAATGTGTAAGTATTTGGTATTCTAAATTCATCTCATGACATGATATACATATTCCTATGCGCATACCCCTATGCAAGATGGTATTTTAAATCGATTAGACAATGAAAAGAACACTCTTTGTAATGGTATACTGATCTTGAATCGCTGCAGTTTTTCAGTGTTATCAAGCGCTTCATTTTGACAATCCAAAACTTGATAAAACGTACGGCTGACCCCTCAGCTAATTCAACATCACATGCTGATGTAATTCTCATTCACTTTTTCTTATAAGTACATCAACTTCGCCTCTGTTCACCCTATATTATGATTGAATCGAGTTATTCTTCACATAAATTGGTAAGAGTGAAATAGGTCTTAATCTACAGAATACTTTCGGATAACCGCAATTACATGTATTCACTTAACTCACCGTAAACTTTTCGGAGACTGACGGTAACTCTTCCTAAACAGTGGTCATTCTCTAAGTCTACTTTCCACCATGGATGCAAATCCCCGTTGGCTGCAAAGTAACAAGGATGCAAAGAAAAGTCCTATTTCACCATCTGATTTTAAGAATGAAGCATATGTAGAAACCACTCTACCAAAAAATGAAAAATGATTAAGCTGCTGCAAACTGCTCACTGACTGGATTGATCTGAAATATATACAAATCAAAAAGTTAGAGAGGCCTGAAATAATTATTTCGTCTTTAGCAAAGACCTCTTCAAAAGCAAATGACACATGGACAAGAAACAAACATGCAGGGGCATTGCAGACAGGCAGGGTTGGTCAAAGACGAAATGAAACATATCAGGCCTCTGTAACTTTTTGATTCACTTTACAAACAGTAAATTTTGCAAATTATGTCCAGGTGCAGGCGTGATATTAAACTTGATTTTTCAATGCTGAAAAAAATTATTGCAACAAAAAAGACTGAAATCGAAGAAGAATCCCAGACCCGAAGTAAGCCTGTTCTCGACTCACCGGTGTGTGAAAATGTGTTGATGTTACCATCTAAAGCTTTTCCTGCTGGGTAGGATGAACTGAAAGAGGTGCTTTGAGTGGCTGGCTTTCCAATGATCAAAAGAGCTTTAAAGATAAAAGAAACTGAATCAAGAGGCAATCATCCAAATGCATTGAAATTGAATAACAACTTTTGTGATTCTCTTTTCAAGCATTATTAATTACCAATAATGGATGACCTATGAGACATTCCCATACACTAAGTGTGCACACCTTTGCTTTCCAACTTGAATCTCACTTATAGCCAATCCCAAATTTTACCAAGGGTGGATTCAGAACACGATTGGGGGGGGGGGGGGGCAACAATAATTTGGTCCCCCAAAAAGTAGGTCCAAAAAATTTGGGCAAGAGGTTCGGGGCCAGTTCAAGGGCCCCAGAAAGATTTTTTTGTGTGGATTCTAGATGATCTGTGGAGCGATCGGAGGCAATTTCTGACCAATTTAACCATTTTTTTTGGGAAAGATGGTAGTGTACGCAGTTCCTGCCTTAATTTTGACGTCACTTCATACAAACAAAAATTGGGTTCGTTTTGGGAAAGGCCATGGCCCCGTTTTCCCCCCCCCCCCCTGGATTTTACCTTATCCAACCCCCACGAATTCTGGTATATATACGTTTTGGATCACGAGCAATCGACCTAGCCTATTTGCGACATTAAAGGTTTTGCTCTAAATATAGGAGCTGAGACATTAGGGAGACCTTGAAATGTCTCCCTAATGTCCGGTGTCTCCTAAGGTATAACGACAAAATGTCTCCTAAGGTGCCATTTAGGGTAATACATATAAAAAAAAAACAATAACAATTAATAAATCAATCTTATATTTGTTTAGTGCAAAACATAACAGAAATATATCTCAATGCACTGTACAATATTGGACATGATCTGAATGTACAAAACTTAGAGACACTTTTATGATGTGTAGTTATAAGCCTGGTAAATTTGGGGGCGGGGGGTTGAGGGTGGATTTGAACCGGTCCAAAGTGTCTACAGATTGAAGAGGCCTGGGGTTGGAAGTGAGTTCCACAGCCTAGGTTCAGTGTGTGAGAATGTCTTTGAGCCATATGAGTCACTGTATTATAAGAGTACAACTAATAATGGTAAATCTGTGATATTTCCTTTTTAAAAATATTCTGCTAATGAAGCAAACTACATGTGGTATCGTCAAAAATTGTACAGAGGATCACTACTTATATATTAGCCCACATAACACAGACGCCAAATACCTCTACAATAAACATCGTCCTCCGGGAGCCTGCAACGGGATTCAAAATCTGAACAGCAGTCACCGTACTGTGAGCACAACGAGTCACAAGAACATCCTCCCTTACTGCCTTCGGAAAAGCATCGACCGGCACAAGTCGCTGTGGGGCAAAGAAAAATACGTCTCCATTCAGAGAATGTAGTATACTGATGTTTTTCATCTTAAAACTGTTGCCAACAGACTACGAACGTTGAATCATTGCTTATCATGTTAGGACCTAGAGAAAAAAACATGGGCAACGTTGGCTGAAAGGCCAGGTGAACTGACGCTCCCTCTCCCTGCCCCTTCCAATTAAATAAAAACAGCGAGAGAGAGAGAGAGAGACGTGGATCTGATGACCGGTTCAGAAAAATGTTGTTCTCTTTCCCTCTGCTAAGTATTTTGTTCTCATCCGGATCCATAAAAAAATCATGTTGGATATTTTCAATAATCAATCCATAATGCTGAAGCCAATCCAATTGCAATTTGGGCGACTTTTCTCTGAGATTTTTGTTGTCCTTTCCGTGTAAAAAAAGAAGAATTTTGCGGGACGGATGTCGCTGGGAATTAGTGTGATAGGTCAATGATAGTATAAGGTCTCAATTAATATTAGTTACGTTGAGACCAAGGTCTGAGCCTGTCAAACATGTTGTTTAGCCAAGAGGATGCTCTCTCACTGGATTCCAAATCATGGTAGTTTTGTGACAGCTCTCTGTATTCTAAAGCCACGGAATAACTTCAGGAATGTGGCAAAACCCAAAACAAAGATCATTTTCAGCAAACACATAGGCTACGTTTACTGCATTCACTCGGCATATAAGTGTCATCCAAACTGGTCGGCAGATAATATTACCAATAGAAAAATTACTGATAAACGATAAACAGAAACAAATAAATACATAACTGCCAACTTTTCAAAATCCCAATTAGTAATCAAACCGCGCGGTCATTTTCAACTTCTCGTTTTATCAAAAGCTTTACCAACATCGAGTACAGCTACATGGTTTACATGTGCATACCCTTCTTGTTGTGAACAATAATGTACTGTAGGCCAAAAGATAATTAAAAAAAAAAAAAAAATTAAAAAAAAAAAAAAAAAAATTTTAAAATTAATTTTGTTTTAATGTCTGTATTTGTTTGTTGAAGTCAAATAAATAATAACAACAATAACATGTGCGCATTTTTTTTTTGAGATGCATGCTATCAATGTGGAGTTTCGAGTTCGTATCATGTTTTTACACACACACAATGATTTAGGGCCACCGTATGCAATAGAAATATCCCGCCAACATACCTTGCAAACGCATGCTGATTTATCTCTTCTGTCCGTTGTGACAAACTCAAACTCTATTACCAATTATTCCAACCATACTCTTATTAAATTCCATGATTAAAATCTCTCACTGATGGGTCTCATCCCGGCAATAAGCGACTAAATGTGCTCACGATCGTCACTGAAAAGTACTCGCATACAGTACACACAACCACACATCCACGAGATGCACACAAATGACACACCATTGAAAAATAGTTTTAGTCTGGTCCTCAAGTACTCCACTGCGCACACTGCATTGATGTCTATCAGGTGCTTGACTGCATTCTTATTAGACTTGTCACTTGTCGACTGCAGTCCATCCATTATCGCGACATTTCGCCAGAAGTTTTCGGTCAAAAACGATACTTTACAAGTATTTTTTTTTTCGTTAGGTAGAAAATGGGAAATTCGTAATGTTTTAGTGGCAAATCGTATTTTCGTAATTTAACAAACAATTCGTAATAATTATGAAAAAATCGTACTAGTTGGCAGCTATGTAAATAGATCTATCGAATGTTGTCGTACCGTAGGTTGCAACACATGCCGAATACGAGTACTCTTCTACAGTCACTTCAGCAAGCTGCAAGATTGCTGTTGTGATTCCAGGTCTGGAGATATCTATGTCCAAGCTCACGTATCTGGCCAAGCGTGCTGGGGCACACAGGAACTCACTCATCTGCCCAGTGGCAGACTGTGACGCCGTAGCTGGTAAACCGCACGGTTGGTTCTCTGCGTAGTTTGAGCTCAGACCTGCGCGTACCACCGCTCCCAGGAATCGGTTCTGCCCTATAAACAGCAACAGCAATAATAAACAAAAATAATTCACTGCCTCAGTTCATCAGCTGTTCAAAAAATATTGATAATTCAAAGGTCTATTTAGTGGAATTGTTACATTTATTTGTGGTAGACTTTAGAAGAAAGGGGAGTTATCTTACCACACTACTTTTTTTCATATTTCCAAGGGGAGGAATTGTTGGAAGTGTATTTCAGGAACATCATCATTATTTTCTGTTAAAACTATAGATAGTTTGCTCAATCAATTCACACTTCACCTGACGGGTGGTTGTCTGTGATAACTGCTTTTTTTTCCTTTTTTGTTTACACTTAATTTTGGATGACCGTTTTTAGCGCAGTTTACATAAACTGAAGTTGATAAATAGAAGAAAAAAAAGCTCATTTAGACGGTGAAAATTAATGGTAGCCTTAAAATATAGCTTTTCCGTTTCCGGGGTCAAGAACTTTGCAAATGCATGAGGCTTGGTTTTTCAATCAAAAAGATGTTTCACCAAAGTCTCACGCTGTACAGTCGAGATTTGAAGAAAGGTTGGAATCCGCCAAAGGCTGTAACAGTGGACAAACATGGGGTTAATATAATGCATACTAATAATGGTCAATCATAATACCACAACAGCCTTGTCGGAGCGTGACGGTGATTGCACCCAAGCAGTGTTCGTCACCCAAATCCACTTGCCACCACGGATGCAGATCGGAACTCCCTGTAAGGGGAAAAAAAGGTTAATGTTTTGATACTGACGATTGATATTTTGTTGCAGATTAAGTTGAAGTAATCTTCAGACGATTGTATGTAACATTCAAAGAAAAGAAACTCATCAACAAGAATGGAGCAATCGCTTTTATTTTTGAAGGATTCTTTTCAATTCACAACAATACCAACTGAAACATAAAGGGGCATGAAGATTTAAGATTGCTTTGACGATTGACATGATTGGTATACACTAGGGAAAAAAAGAAATACAATGCAATTTCTCACCTGAAGTATGGAAAAAAGTATCACTGTTGCCATCAACCGCATTTGCTGCAGAAAAACCACCTAACACGGAGCTTCGCGAAACTGGCTTTCCAATGATAGAAAAGGCTTCAAAATTAAAAGAAGATAATTATTATTACATTTAGCCAATAAAACAATTCCAAGACAAATAACGATAAGGAACGATACATAACAAACAGAATAGCACAGAATATAAGACTAAACCATAATAATTATAATGGCATGGGGAGGGATAAAAAAACATCACTATAGTCCGTTGACCTAACCCAGATGCAGACATAGGAAAATAGAAATAGATAACAATATATATTACAATTTGAATTGTATATGTAAAATTAAGTACACACACTAAAACAGTAAGATAAATAAAAGAGGCACACAATGCATAAAAGTGAGAGAGCGAAATTAAAATTGAGTTATAAAATAACGTAAACAAACAACAACAGTGACTGCAATATCACTACACCAAAATGAAACGACAGGAACATTGCACATCAAAGGAAAACAAAACACAAGCGGGATGAGGGGCAGATGAAACACAAAACGATAACAAATTAACACACTGACTAGCCCTAACCATGACCTGACCAAAATGAGCAAACCATCATACAAAACAAGCCTGCCTTTTAGTGTTAAATACAATTACCAGTTTGTCCTTTAAAAACAGTGATTTTGTTTGTTTGATGGGTCGTTGGGTTTGTCTGTTTGGTTGTTTGTTCATATAATTCTGGGTGTCGTTTGATTCTGCAGTCTGTATGGCCAGTTTTGTGCCTTTTATGAGTTCGAAATCACTTACCCCCATCGATAGCGCACTCCAGGTATGGGTATTCCAGCAAAGTCACCTCAGCAAGCGCCAGGATTGCTTCAGTAACCCCAGGCAAAGAGGTATCTATATCCACACTCACATATCTGGCCAATTGTGGTGGGGCACACAGGAAATCATTCACTGCCCCATCGACAGACTGATTTGCTGTAGCTGGCGAACCACATGGTTGGTTCTCTGTGTAGTTTGAGCTTAGACCGGCACGTACAACAACACCAAAGAAACGGTCGTTTCCTAAAAGAGAGAGAATCGAAAAGATCACAATCAAAAAGATACACATTGCATGATTAAGATAGTGATGGCATGCTGCGACCAGACCAAATCTTAACACCTCACACAAAAACATCGCATCTGCGTATAGAAAGTTACTACCTCCATCGTGTAATATATTGCCATCAAAAGAATTGTTGACAACCCAGTCAAGGACATATTGCATCCTCGGCTGTGTCTCAAGTGTCATGCATCCCTAGGCCAGTGAGTTGTGAGTAACAACAAATTCTATATTCTTTCCAGTAATTCTATATTTACCTTCTCCATTTGTAGGCTCCGAGCACTCCACCCCAGCATCTTCACCATGCCCGCAGTTGTGCTGCTGTATGCCATTATGCGAGCAGTCGAAGATGGAACTCTCTTGCCCCGTGCATGCCACATTGTCCAGCTGTATCGGTCCCTCTCCCTGGCCGTACGCGGCCTCTGAGGCCGCTGTCACGGCCGCTCCGAAGCCCAGCTCACGGCAGACCACGTTGGCGTCGTTCAGGTCCCACTGGTCGTCGCACACGGTGCCCCACTGGCCGTTGGCGTAGACCTCCACTCGGCCTTCATACATGGACCCTCCGTCCCGTAGACGAACTGCCGGATAGGTAAACGGATATTAATTGGCAATAAGCAACAAAGAAAAAAGGATATCTGCGTTTTGTTCGTAGAAGATAATGAAATTAAGTAGAGCTGGCATAGTAACTTTGTTCCAAGATGGTCCCATCTCGAAACTTGCAATCTATGCCGCACTGTCGTTTCACTGCTTTTACAGAAACAAATTAATCCCTTTTTTGAACTTATCATATTTTTCAAAGTGCCAGAAATAGTGAAGTTATTTTATTAGGGCAGGTACGGTAGGCGTATAGGTGGAGTAGATTGGTTATTTGTAATCGGTAGGCAGGGGCTATAAAAAAAGACAGGACACGTTTCGTACATTCTCGCATGCACAACTTGTTAGAAAATTATGTGGAAGAATGGTCGACTAGCTGTTGTTTATTAAAAAAAAAAAGGGAAGTCATTTATATGAATACATTGGTCTATCAAACAACCGTTACATGTGGCTCAATAGTTAACATAAAACAGTCGTAAAACGAGACACTCAAGGGGAATTCCCTTTTGTACGCAACGATCCCCATTTGCTGTACACACGTAGTACAATGTACTTGGCATTCAATGAACATTTTAAGGCGTGGGCGTTGTCAACATCAAATATCAAGGGGGCTGCAGGGCATCTCCTAGTTAACTTATTGTAACGAAACCTGGGGAAGTTCTCGACCTATTATCAAATTTTTAGACCTATTAAAGTGCCATGTAAAGCTGATGATGATGATGATAAAGGCAAAGGCAAGTTATAGACTAATTAAAAGGCATGCGAGAGCAGGGGCGGAGCCAGGAGTTGTTGCAGGGGTGGGGGGTCAGGCTCGACAGATTGTTTTATGTCCGATTGTTGCGGACAGGCAGAATGTCATCTTTTTTATTATTATCATAATTTTTTTAATGTTTGTGTGAGTGTCAGAGCAGGGGAGTGGAGGGGGGGGGGGGGCAAGGGCGGATCCAGGGGGGGCCAAAGGGGGCCATGGCCCCCCCCCAAACGAAACCAATTTTTTTTTTTTATGTGACATCGTAATAAAGTCAGGCAATGAGTACACCACCATCTTTTCCTCAAAAAAAATTGGTTAAAGTGGTCAGAAATTGCCTCAGATCGCACCACAGAGCATCTAGAATCCCCCAAAAAATTCGGGGCCCTTAAGCGGGCCCCGAACCCCACGTCGTAATTTTTTTGACCCACTTTTTTGGGGGACCAAAATTATTTTGGCCCCCCCCCCCCAAAATTGTGTTCTGGATCCGCCCTGGGGGGGGGGGGGGGGTACGTTCGCGTCTCCGTATAGAAAGTTACTACCTCCATCGTTTGATATATTGCCATCAAAAGAATTGTTGACAACCCAGTCAAGGACATATTGCATCCTCGGCTGTGTCTCAAGTGTCATGCATCCCTAGGCCAGTGAGTTGTGAGTAACAACAAATTCTATATTCTTTCCAGTAATTCTATATTTACCTTCTCCATTTGTCGGCTCTGAGCACTCCACCCCAGCGTCTTCGTGATGCCCGCAGTTGTGCTGCTGTATGCCATTATGCGAGCAGTCGAAGATGGAACTCTCTTGCCCCGTGCATGCCACATTGTCCAGCTGTATCGGTCCCTGTCCCTGGCCGTACGCGGCCTCTGAGGCCGCTGTCACGGCCGCTCCGAAGCCCAGCTCACGGCAGACCACGTTGGCGTCGTTCAGGTCCCACTGGTCGTCGCACACGGTGCCCCACTGGCCGTTGGCGTAGACCTCCACTCGGCCTTCGTACATGGACCCTCCGTCCCGTAGACGAACTGCCGGATAGGCAACGGGTATTAATTGGCAATAAGCAACAAAGAAAAAAGGATATCTGCGTTTTGTTCGTAGAAGATAATGAAATTAAGTGGAGCTGGCATAGTAACTTTGTTCCAAGATGGTCCCTTCTCGAAACTTGCAATCTATGCCGTACTGTCGTTTCACTGCTTTTACAGAAACAAATTATTCCCTTTTTTTCAAATTGCTTATCATTTTTAAAAGTGCCAGAAATGGTGATTTAATTTTATTAGGGCAGGTACGGTAGGCGTATAGGTCGAGTAGATTAGTTATTTGTTATCGGAAGGCAGGGGCTATAAAAAAAAGATACTTTTCGTACATTCTCGCACTACTTGTTAGAAAATTATGTGGAAGAATGGTCGACTAGCTGTTGTTTATAAAAAAGGGAAGTTGTTTCGTAAGATAATATTCAGATATACAAAGTGAGTCAAGAAAGTCACCAATCAATAAATTTAAGCATTTAAATTTGATACACAAATGAAGTTAAAAGAGCATGTCCTTCCACTCATCTGAAATTTTTTTTACTGAAATTGATAAATGCTTTCAGAAGTTATGAATGTTTTACTACAAGAATCCTTGTTCGTGACTGTCTCTATTAAATGCCACCGGAAGCTGTGGAGCAAAGTGAGAATTCAAGATTAGACACAAGATTAGGCTAAAATACAATTTGTTACTGTCCGATTCTGTGTTTTGAATAATATGAGGAACATAATGTTAATTGCGATTTTTGTATGTTTTCGTTGCCAGTTTTCGTTCATCCGTGGAGGCTGGAAAACGTAAATGATTCGTTGTATTTAATGGGTATTCATCAGTTCGTAAAACGGTGAATGATCAGTGGTGGACAGCGGAGTTTTGTGATCTTATAATTAAAATAATTTGGGAATGGAGTACGCAAATTACGTGACATTTTCACAAGTACTAGTCAATAACATGTATGGATCCAGGGGTAGTATTTTATGTGAATTCAACCAATTTGCATGATTAGTGATGTTTGTATCGCTGTAAATTAATTGGTAATGTTTCTCAACTCAGTCGTGTGCAAACTGTTATTACAATAATAATAATAGTAAATATTACCCTGGATTGGACATTTTGGGAGACATCCCCATAGACTTGTGCACAAAAATGTTTCAAACTTAAATGTGCCCTAACCCAATATTCCCTTGTCCTTTTCCCACGAATTTCGGTTGGTTTACTAATTAGACCACGAGCAACAAATATAACCTAATTGCGACAAAATTGTGCTTCATGTCTCCCTTATGACCGATGTCTCCCATCGTGCGAAGAAATTACGATATGGTGTCTTATGTATAATGTATAATGATAATAATAAACAGCACTTATACAGTTCACAGTATCTGCCATAAAGTGCCATGGTGGTCTATGCTGCGTTCTGAGGTCAAGCGATAGACGGGTTGCAATATAAAGAGAAGGCTATTTCACATCGGGGTTATGTAAATGCAATTTTGCGTTTGCTCACCGTCTTTGAATAAACACTGTAGCCTCAATGTGTTACCCACCGAGTGAAAGTGAGAAAAAATCACTCGGGAGGGGGGAGGGGGATCGGACCCACGACCTCACTTTCTAGTGGAGATGTCTTACCACTCGACCACCGAGCTTGTGGGATCGGTTGGCCGATACATCACATTCAAACAGCATATTAACTCATATTAACTCACCGCAGCAGCCTTCTAGTCCGAGACTGACAGTAACTGTTCCCAAACAGTGAACATTCTGTAAGTCCACTTGCCACAATGGATGCGAATCCCCGTTGGCTGCAAAGTAACAAGGATTGGAAGAAATAGTACAGTCTTATTTCGCCACATGAATTTAAGATTGAAGCATGAATTGAAGAACAATATCTGAAAACTTTACTCACGGATGCGAACCCCCAAGATTGACAGCAAAAAATAATTACAGATTGGTAAAATTATGAGAGTGCATTTCACTGCACGATTTTGAGAATGAAGCATGCACTTTGCAAATGCAGCGTCTTGTAACTACTGTCCACACGCAGGGCCAGGGCGATGTTTATTGCTGAAATTTATTGCAACGAACAAAGAGAGTAAACTCGCAAACGAATCTCACATGTGGATCGAGTTTAAGTATTTTTGCTGCAGTTTATAGACTCACCAGTGAGGGAGAATGTGTCGGTACTACCATCTAAAGCATTTCCTGCTGCGTAGGCTGCACCGAAAGTGGTGCTCTGTGTAGCTGGCTTTCCGATAACCGAAAGAGCTTTAAATAAGTAAGAGAAGGCCAGGTGAAGTGATGACGGGCTTCATAGTTATGAGAGCTTTGATACTGATAAGAAATGTCAACTGTTGAAATGGTACAAAAAATACCGAAGGCATATTCATTAGGCAAAATGAATTCAAAATAAGCCCTATGGAAATTATACACATGACTCAGGGGCCTACTATATTGACTGCTTTGAGTGGTGTAGTAATAACTATAGCATCACGAGGTGATCCATGAAGCATTGTCCAGAGGCGAAGCCGAGGGAAAGTAGAATGCTCCATGGATCACCGAGGGAGGCTAGTTTTACTATAAAGCAGTCAATGTTTAGTGTAAATAAAATTGTAAAAAAGAAAACCAAATAGGCCCTACCTCGATTCTCCGGGAGTCTGCAATAAGATTCAAAATCTGAACAGCAGTCACCATATTGTGAGCACAATGCGTCACAAAAACAACCTCCCCTACTGCCTTCGGTTGAGCATCGATCAACGCAGGTTGCTGTCAATGAAGAAATTATATTGACAAAAATGTCTTTAATGGTTTGTGTTTATATTCTTAATCATTTCAATAACTTTAAGAGTCCTTATTATCCTTACAAACAACACGGTACATAACATGACAAGAGTACAAATGAATTTGATGGAAATACCTTTTATTTTCCACATGAACAGGTATCTTATCCTTTTAAGTTCTACTTTAAACCCATTCATGCATCATCAATATTTCAAAGATGAAAGAAATTGCACAAATGAAAGATAATTGCGCAGAGGGCTTATATAAATACAGTAACATTTTTCGCTGTTTGAAGCACTTTCGGAAAGGATGAACAATCACTTCTTTTAAATATTTAGCATTTTCTCAGCAACCCAATGTGCTGTTTTCATGATTTGTTTTTAGTATTTGAAAGAAAAAAACTCTCAGACTCAAACTTAAAATTCACCGATCACGTTTTTGAAAACCCCCCACATGTTTCAGGGTTGCATTTTTGGGGTCACGGGTATAACGAACGTATACATACCTTCTCCTGAGGAATCATCGGGAGAAAGAGTCCTTGAATCTTGTACGGCTGTCGTCGACTCTGTGTGGGAAAAGCGTTAAATTCATCAAGGTTCTGGATTTCTAAAAGGGTGAGATGAATTTTCTTAGGAATACGTTTTGTGCAACTTTCTTCTCCTCTTGAATGTATGAAAACTATTACGGTCACCCACTCCCCCGCTCCTCCGGTCAATGTTGTTGTCCCCAGCTGATGGAGCACACACCGCGCAATGAGAGACAAAATTGAACGGGGGCCGGGGGATCGCGAGGGTGGGGGCCCAGCGAGATTTGGCCAGGGTTGTAGGTACAGGCCAGTAAATCGGTCCGAAATTGCCCGATTGCCAAATCACGATTTACATGCCCTCATAATTATTCAGTATTTGAGCACACTGTGGGCCATGAACTTGGGGATTTGTACAAAAGAGGGATGGGAGCCGTGCACTGGAACGTGAGCTTGTATGAAATTTGGATGAAATTAGGCCCTAAAAGCGCTCTCTTTTGCAATGGAGTGGGGGGAACGTTATTCAAAATGGCGATGGGCTTCAGGACTATTATTTTAAGGGATGATTATATTTGGGTGGAAATTTCTCCCAAACTTGTTCATCAAGTTAAAGAAAGACCATGAAATAAGCTTTAAGCTCGATGTGTGTCTCGAACACCTTGGGGGTAAATTGTGAGTATATTTCCTGACTTTCTGAAGTGGGGCCATTTATCATTGGGGTCTTTATTGCACCCATATAGGGACACTGTTAAAAGCGGGCCCTTGTATGGACGCTCTCGGACAGTAGGTGGCGCTCTCCATAGCTGCCGACTGACGCTACTCGCTTTTTCCGATGATGTTGCCGGCCCCTTCCCGCTCACCCTCCCCTCCCGGCTCGCTCTTATAAAATCTGTCGCCGGTTGCAATTTGCAACTGTACAACACCCCACCCCTATGACATTGCCCTGAGGTGGGTATTATCGGCGCTAAGAATGTCGGTAAAACTTAGAACAACAAATATCAAACAGCGGCATCCATTTTAAGAGATCTTCGAAATACTTCATCGATGCGTCACGCACACATTTTTATAAAGTATGACATTTTTAAAAGTTGGTATATAGAGCCCACGTGCCTTTTAAAAAATTTGAATTTTCTTTTCCGAACGAAATATGAAGGAATTATTATGTCCTGTAACAAATAAATTTGCTTGTTTGAGTTTGCAGGCCTTTACTCAGATTTGAAAGTTGGCTTTAACTGACGCGCTCCAGTTCTGAAATTGCGCACACTATTCAAAACGAATTAGGAGCGTCCCGCTCTTAATTCGAAAGTTGAAATTAAATGATTGATAGCTTGGTATGGGCCGATTTGTTTCGTGCGATGTCTCATTTGAAAGGTCGTTGAAATTTTCGATTTTGGGGATTTAATTCCATTTGTAATTGTAAACAACATAGCTATTTACGATCATAAGTAAGACTTTTGACACGACGACTATGGAAAGACGTCGCGCCAGCAGATACTATCAAATTCCAGCACTGTACAAGAGTCGCCCAGGCCTCTATCCAGGAGGTGGGGGGGGGGAGGCGGGTGTTCCAAACCCCCAGCTCTGTTAAACAATATTTTTTTCCGTAGAAATTCTCCTGAAAATAATAGGAACCCCCCCCCCCCCTCCGCTCTGACACCCCCAAAAATATATACTGGTAATAACGTCCACCTGTGCACTACATACGGACAGCAGAGGCAGCTTCGTGGTGGGATATTGAACGCTATTCTGTAATAATATAGCATTAATAATCGTCGAATTTGAACCGCACCCAAAATAGTATGGTGCGAGTCCCCCCCCCCCCCCCCCCATGATTTTCGAAGGCCAAGTCCAGAGAAAAAAAACCTGTCTACATGGCAGATTTTTTGGGGGGTTGATGAACTCCGCCCCCCCCCCCCCCTTGCCAAAATGTCTGGTTCCGCCCCTGCCGCCTATTGGGTTCCGCGCGTTTGGCAGATTCCTCATCGGCAGTTTTTCAAGGTGTCAAAAGGCAACTGAACGGACAAGCCATCGGCTGATATCCTGCTGCCTAGCTGCTTGGTCGTGGCCCACAGGCCTTCCCACATTCTGGGGACTCCAACAATAATTAATTACCTCATTTCATTTTCTCATCCTACATGAGCTACAGCAACTTCATTTGGGTCAAAATAGTGATAAGCCGATATCACATTTCATATCAATGTACCAACTTACGTCAGAGGTGGATCTAGTAACTTTTGCTGGGGATGGGTTGGGAGGAGGGGAGTGGTTGAGGCCCGTCAGATTCAGATACACATGTACATACTTTATTGTGTGAGAGCAGGAGAAGGGTTCGACCCCCGCCCCAGCCCCTCTGGATCCATGACTACAGTCAAAGGCAAGTCTGTATTAAAAAGCCCCATGTTATGGAATTTTCCAATTCAATCCTTAAGGTACATTGGGGTTTTCCACTTGACTTTGTTTTCTATTTTGTAGTTCCAGTTTTAAGGTGAGGGGCTTTGTTTTCTTGCGTCTTCCTATTTTGCGAATATCTGTATATTTGGGAAATGTTCAGAACTAAAGAAACGTTATAATTTTGAAACATGTAATAAACACATTACAATGTACATACAATATTTCATACTGCGTTTCTTACTTCAATTGAAAATTGCGACATTAATAATGGCATAGTCATATTGATGGAACAAAACTTTGTTTTGATTATAGTCAATTATTAAAAATTCATTGATTTATTACATAGACCTTTGTTTTGTTTTGTTTTAATACTACCATAGGCCTGCCGAGCAGATGTAATCATGAAACTAATTAAACCAAAGTTAAAAAAAAAAAGGCAAAAAAAAATCTGAAAAAGTTATGTGCTAGCCAAGCATTCAGGGATCGGTCTGAGCCATAACAATGCCCCAGCCAACCCCTTAGGACTCTTCTGGGCTCTCGGGTGTCCCGGTGTAGCGTGAATTTACGTTTCTATGAAATTCGGACTCATTGGTAATACCGCGCATGCGTAAGTATGGTAATTAGGAAAGTGACCGGTCACGTGAGAGGGATTAACCAATAATAGGGAAAAGGGGTCCGATTTTCATAGGAGTCGGATTTTCATGTGACACCGGCCAATACACACTTCCTTCCCTGTCCATCCATGTAACCCCGGAGGGCCAGTCACCATGTAAAAGCACAGAGCTAAGGGAGGAACAGGGCGGCCCCTAAGCCCTGATCCTCCGAGTGGACCACATGCCCTGAACCTGTACGAAGGTGCCAACCTGGAACTCGCGGACAGTACCAGCAGCAGTGCTTACCGATCAAGCTAAGGTACTGCTGGTATTTAACGACGGGAAATTAAACATCTTATAATGACTGAATAGAACGCGTGTGTTGAAAAGCAAAAAGACACCGACGGGATTCGATCCCGGACTCCGCGATTCGTGGACGACGAATCTAACCACTCAGCCACCAGGCTTCCTTAAAATTCTCCTCAAAAACAATTTGTCTTAATAATAGGCGGAGAAACCTGGAACATTGCCGTGTGTATCTGTTTTGGCTTCATGGACGAACAGATTTGAAGAACAAGATTTTGAAGTCAATTGAAGTCGCCGTTTCGGGCAGTAATGAGTCAACTGTTTTCATTTGTTTGGACAATTGTATACGGCAGCCTCGTTAGTGGTAGGCCTATACGTGTGCTACTTATCGTTACGCAACAATGAACACTTATTACTATGTAGGCTATTTTGAATTTTGGTGGGAGGGGGGGGGGTTCAGGCCCGTTTGATTTCTATATCCGATCTGATCATGTTTGTAATATTCATATTCTGCGTGTGTCAGAGCGGGGGGGGGGGGGGGGGGGGGGGGGGGGGGCGGGGGGGGGGGGGATGGGGGGGATGGGGAGGGGGGGGGGGGGTTTTGAACCCCCGTCGGCAAAAAGTCGGCAAAAAGTGCCAACCACTGGTTGGCAGTTCAAATGTCTATAAACCGCGCGTGTGCATTCACAATACACAATGCAACATGCATAGCGCGCGCTGCGGTCAGGCACTGCGGTCACACACGCGCCGCCATTGCACAATACTGTGCATGAAACCACACAAGGACCGTACAACAGCGTAAAACGGCACAAATAATACAGGCTCATTTTCACCCACGGTCACAGTTTAGACGTTCGAAAGTCATTCAAGTGTTTCTATATTTACTAGCGGTCACTTTAGATATAATGGTGTGCGGAAACGGCACCCGAGACCTACAATAAAATGAGAGAATTCTAAGAGCAAAAGCGACATACCTGTGGCTTCCGACGGCAATATCGACAAGAGACGAAAACAAGGCGTCTGAGGACAGATCACCTGGCGAAGTTATTCCTCCGCAATCCGTAAGCACATTCTAAGCCTTTAGCCCTTAGCTTACTACTCGTCCCCACTTTACATTAGGCGATCATGCTGTGAAACATTTAATTAACTGTGGACGTGTACGATAAATTGCAGACGTGTGCAATTTCCGAGAGATAGTAGGAGGCACTACATTGTGTAGCGTAGGCACAATAAAGCGTTATGTGAAGGTACGTTGATGCAATGGCAATTGCTACCGCCAACTGTTGATAAATCACGGGGTAGGTTTGGGATATTCAAACCAGGGGCGGATTGCAATAACCGGTCTTAAAGCTGTCTATGCGCATTAAACGGTCTAAAAGCTCTGGCTGTCAGTCAGTCTATAAGTTAGACCATTGCAATGACACGGTCTAAGTATTAAGACAGTCTTAAAATAGTTAGCCTGGGTAGGGCTGGCTTAAAATGGTCTATAGTTGGGATTTTTGGAATTCATTGGTGTGTTGAATTATTCTTTCCTAACATGTTTTTTTCAGTTGATGATCAGTGTGTGTTAATCTTTAAAAAAGAAGAAGAAGAGAATACTGCTTGGAGGGAGGATTCTCCAGGATAGAAGGAATCTTCTAGAAAAAAATGTAATGACACTGAATTGTACTGCAAATGCAATATTCTCTCAACATAAAATCTTGGAATTGACAGATTTGAATTCGCATGACTTGAATCACACAAACCTACAAAAAAAATGTGTGCAGTCTCTCCAGTATTTGCTCGTAACTATGGAATGTTTGTTTGTGAATCATTACTCTAAGCGGGCTTTGTAAAGACCAGCTGAACATCTACATTCTAATACTAGAGGCTTGCGTTTGTCTTAAAAAAAGCAGTGTGCTGGGGTGCTGACCTATAATAAACATAACATTGTGTACCTCAGTTATAATGTTCATGCGCACTTGTTGTGGGGACGTTAACTCAAAAAATACATGCTGTGTTCAATTATTGAAATTTGTTCTACTCATTGTTCGTGATAAATTCAAGAAGGGCGTTGAATTTGGAGAGAGATTGTTAAACAATAAGAATAATATTTACAACAAACACGGGGCTGAGCAAAAAGTACAAGCCAAATTAAAGCTGAAAAAAAGCTCTTTCAAAAGAGGGCGCGCTTCACAAAATGTGATCACCGCCGTAATAATTATTGTCAATACGGAAAGAACACTGCCTAATTGAAGTCAAAATGTACTGAAAAACCTGTCTAACTGTTGGGGGAAAACAATACAACATGTCTTGAGATTTGAAGGTTTGCATGGTGGAAAGGTACTAAGACAAGATAGTAGATACTAAGACAAGATAGTAGTTCTTTTCAGAACCACACATACTCAGAAAAGAGATTTATTCACATGGTGCTACCGCAAAATTATCTTGTCTTAAAGGGACACTTGGTCCTGGAACAGCTCAATTGGGCTACAAAACGCGCTTTGAACGAGATGATGATAATCGGAAATAAGATTTAAAAGTAGGATATAAACATCCACACAACTATCCCTTAAAAAACTGGGCGTTTTTGTGTTATTCCTGTATTATGCATGCGAGAACGAATTTCGGGGTCCACTTTTGCGACCCCAGAAATTCGAGCTGTTTGTCTTGCACAATAATCCAGAAAAATACCTGCTTTGCTCCGTGTTGACAAAATTGTTTTCGGTTGCGACCGCTATTTGTTAATAAGTGCGCCCTCTTTTTAAAAAGACAATACGAATTAAAGTCAAGTTACGAGGAACCACGTAACAACGCTCTGGTGGGTAGAGATTCGTGTTTAAGAAAACAATAAAACGCTGAGTGATCGGACCGACGACTTTTGCACGGGACATTGTCCTATTGTGAATATGCCAGTATGTCAGAACAGATTTTGTTTTAATTAAATTCAGCCCTTCCCATGAACCATTGGTCTGAATCGTTTTTTTTTTAAAGCCCGTCTTTGTTTTTTTTTTTATAAATTTCAGTACATTTAATACACGTACACGTTGTTTCCTGCTTGATGACGTCAGCAGTTAAAAATGCGCAAACCGAATACCGATTTAGTTCAAAGAAAATACATGTTTTATCGTGAGGTGAAAGGAACTTCTAAAAATATGGAAATTATAATGAATGTTTAATTTTTTTTATTAGTAACGTCACAGCGTTTTGAAGCCAAAGGCCAACTGTTTATTGGGAATTATTATGTGGTGTACAAACAAAGTATTTAGACACCGATCAAAATGACGGATTTAAAATGATTCACATTCTTTGAACCAGGCTTCAATTTTATATCATTTTTTATCATCATGCCGTGAACAGTTTGGAAGAAATTTGGTTTGTTTTCATTTGAGGTTTCTCTCTGTATACAGTGTGTCCCAGAAGAAGCGGGCCCGGACAAATTAGCGGCCATATTAAACAAATATTTATGTAAAACTAAATTTTGTTTGTGATTTTTCATGCTTTTGATGTTGTTTATTGTCTGTGGCATAATAAACTGAATTGATTGAAAGATTTTAAAGCCACTAGAAACGTCAAGGCTCCATAATGTCGAAATGTATACACTTGTTGTATACACTTGTTGTGTTGTGGAGAGAGGGACACCCCTGTACCTGCTAGTCTGGTTCCCAGACCAAAAGATTCTGACTATTCCTGATGAATCTTAGGTCCGGTAGCCTCCGGTAATACATTGTATTACAATTTACGTCACGTGACTAAAACGGGAGGAATTCCTCCTTTTTCTGAAAATTTCCGAAGTTTGCCGAATTCGTTTCGTCGACAATCGGATAGCGCCCGAATATTTCCGAATATAATATAGGTTTAATTAACTGCTTATTGCTTATTAATTTTTTTTTAAAAATGAGTTGATAATTGATATTCAGTGCTTTCATTTAGAAAAGTTGAAATTCCACGACGATTTTGTGCATCAATTATACTCGGATCGTATGGGCGAACTTTTTGCTGCGTCATGTACAATTTTGAATTTGACGACCGTTACTGAGATTGTCTTCATTCGGCTCCGCCTGCTAACAGTGCTATTGGGTGCCTAGTTTTGAAGATTCCAGATCAACATTAGTCAATGTTATCTTACAGAAACATCAAACTGTATTATCATAACTGTATGATATTACGAAGCAAGTGATTAGTGTGTGATTTACTTAAAAATTTGATCAGATCGAACATTAAAAGCTAAAAGTGATAAAGCGAAATCGGAAACGAAGCCGAGCTTTGAAAAAGGGTCATCAATGTCGTCATGTTTATTTTAGCCACGGAGGCTGCCTGACCTAAAGGGCCATTTCAGAATTTTCAATGTTTTAAAATTTCGACCTTTTTTCCACATTATTTTGACCCACCCACCCCTTATTTCGATTAATAAAAAACTGAACATGTACATGTACATGCACTTGCATGTACATGTACTTGAACACCATGTACATGTGTGTCTAGTTCAGTGACGGCGTGAAGTTGTCGGTCTTCCTCTTTTGCACTGGTGACCTTCAGTTTTCTTGTTTTTTGCCAGCTGATATGCTGTTGGGAATGACAGGTTGCAGTTTGGGAAGCCACAAAGATGACCGTGGTTTTGTCGTTTTCTGGATGAGGTGGATGACATGTGACATACGAGATTGTGCCTGTCACGTGAGGTAGCTGAGAAAAACATTCGCTCGTACCCCCCCCCCCCCCCCCCCCCCCCCCGCTAGGCCTGTTTGCAGGGTGGGGGTACGAGCGAAAGAAAACATCAGGTTTGGGCAGACATCACATCACAGGCTGCGGTCCTCGTAGTGTTGGAGTCCAGTGGTTGAATAGTCCAGTTTTTATAGCGATTGGATACACGTAGGCCTACATGACGTACATGTACATGTACAGTACACAGTGGCGTAGCCACGGGGGGGGGGGGGGGGGGGCGTGTGGGGGGGGGGGGGGCGACAGCCCCCCCCCATGAAACCTTGTCGCCCCCCCAGTCGCCGCCCCCCCCCCCCCCCCCCCCCACTGAGATTTTGAGTTTCTAAAAAAATTATCATTGATCTACATGACGCCCCCCCCCCCGGGGGCCCATGAAATGTTCCAGCCCCCCCCCCCCCCCCACTGAAAAATTCCTGGCTACGCCACTGGCCCCGGTTGACCATGCACACCATGGCTCGAACTATAGTGTGATCCGGTACACTCGCTGGCCTCGTCCAGCTGTTGCTTCCCCGTCACTGTAGCTGTCCGCTCCCGCTTCAGTCCGGCCGTCTCTGCAAAGCGAAAGCTCGTACCGTGCCCACTCGGTTCAGCTAGAATCTTTGGCATACTTGGTTCCCCCAGTTTGTGAGACTCCGACACCGGTGTTGAAACCAAGGAAAAGCCTGACGGTTGGAGGAATCCCCACGAAGTTAAATAAACCAGTAAAGTCACTGTGTGAAAGCTCTGTTTCCCGCCAAATTCGTTATCATAGATAATAATGTTGATTCTAATATAAAGTTAATGAACTAATAGGGAATGCAACAATAATTTCAGGAATGAATTGCAGGGCAGCTCCGTCGCACAGCCTTTAACGTTTCACCACTTGAAACAGAACTGATAGACACATGGATTACAAGATAAGAGAACTGTTCAATTGCCTCATTGATGTTCTCCGAAGTCACCGTGTTAAAATTAGAAAAAGTTTTAACTATGAAAGGTTGTGAATCTTTTCTTTCAAAACTGAGGGAGGAATTATTGCAGTCATATTTATTTTATCGTCAATGTAAAATTGTGTCTTATTTCATTTTGTTCCCGGGTATTTTCTTGTTGTTTCTTTAGTGTGTGTATTTAATGTGAGTGTAGACCTATGTATGTCAACTAGGTTGTTTGTTTTTATGGTTTGCATTTTTCTCTCTGGGGAATGGGATTGCTTTTGTTTCTCGGGTTTGTTTTGTTTTGTTTGTAATAATCTTTTTAGCCCGTTCGTCATTCATTCCCGTTATTGAGTCTGGTTGTTTGTTTTGTTTGTTTGTTTGTTTGTTGGGTTGTAAGAGTATTTATTTATTAGTTCGTTTTTATATTTTTGTATCTGTCTGGCTTGTCCAATGTTTCACTCTATGATTTTTTTGCTGAGTCTTGTCTCATCTCCCCGTCTTGTCTCGTCTCGTCATGTCTCGTCATGTCTCGTCTCGTATTATTTGTACAATTTACTTTTCAATAGTACTTTAATTTTTATGAATGGAATTTTAAATCTGTTTTATTGGCAGGGGTTTGGATAAATGTCTGATGACAATTGTTTTTTTTTTACTTTTACATATCCGTGGCAGCCTGTCCAACTTTTAGCTTTTATTTTATGTTTTAAGATTTAAAATAAAATAATTGAATCCCTGCCACGCTGTACGATGGTGTAGCCGTGCGTTATGCACGTGGATTGTTTAGTTTCGTTTTGACGGGGACTTTACTGAATAGAGTCTGGTGACTGTACATAGAAATTTCTTGAAATGCAAAGCAGGGGCAGTGGTTCAAGGATATCTATGTTGACTTGAGGAAAGTGTGCAAGAACGCGACTCGAATGCTTTTATGTGTTCACAATACAACGACGCTGTTTAGTTATTTCACTGTGTGACACAGTGAGAAATTTTGGAATCATAATGGCGTCAGCGATTGCTGGGGAGCTCTTGCGTACGACTTTCTGTACTTTGGTACTGTTGTTTCCAGGACAATTGTGTGTACGGTAACCCGACGTACCCAGATTTTTAAAGACGAAATTGCCGACCTCAAACTTGTTAGTGCCATATTTGGCAACTATATGTGCGTTATTAGTTTAATTAAACAAATGAAGATGTTAATTAAACATAGTACCATTGAAGGTACCTAAAAGTAAACATAACAGCATAGAAGTCCGACAGACGAACATAAAATGTTACAAAATAAATATATTTGTCTGGATAATTTTTTAGGGCGTTACCGGCAAGTTAACACAAACTTGGTGCCAAATAGATCATGGGAGTTACTTTTCTTTGACTTTTCATACAAGTTTACATAAACTTTAACTGTATGACCTGCAGTGGCGTAGCCACGGGGGGGGGGGGCGTGGGGGCGACAGCCCCCCCCCATGAAACCTTGTCGCCCCCCAGTCGCCTCCCCCACTGAGATTTTGAGTTTCTAAAAAAATTATCATTGATCTACATGACGCTCCCCCCCCATGAAATGTTCCAGCCCCCCCCCCCCAGCGCCCCCCCCTCCCCCCCCCCCCCCCCACTGAAAAATTCCTGGCTACGACACTGACAGTACATACAGGGGACGAAGTTGGAAAAGAAACACGCATCGCGATATCGGAACGCTTGCGCGTAGTTCAGGCAAGTCAAAAGATCCATCTTTCTTTGTTTTGTTTTTTAATCTTTTTTCCATGGAAAGTGAATTTCGATTTTCAATTATTTAGCTTGACCCACCCACCCACAATTTGGAAAAAAGATCGAAATTTTATAACATTGAAACTTCTGAATGGCCCCTAAGATTCATCAGGAATAGTCAGAATCTTTTGGTCTGGGAACCAGACTATGAACCTGCATCAAGCACGAACACATTTCACATGCGAACAAAAAGTGTCTTATTTCATAACACATTTACATGTAAATGTGTTATGAAATAAAGACATAGTTTCGACAAAATGGCTTTTAAAATTAAAAATGATATATTTTTGGATGTGCCGCTTGAGGGCGCCTTTTCGGACGATGACGTCATCAAAAACTGTTTTTAAGTTGACCAATTAAGACATACATCGTATTTTAACCAATCACATCACGCACCCTAACTTGAATATTTATCACACTGTGTGAACTAGCTGAACAATCATGACCATTGACGATATATACTACAGATAAAGCATCGCCGCAAGTGTAACTTGTCGTGCTTCTGGAAATATGTAAACTAAAATTAAGTGGCTTTGGTGATTTTTAATTTTTTCCCCTTTTATTTTGGAGACACCGACTTAAGGCAATTCCGACTTGAGTTAAGTCTAGCAATAACACGAACTCTTTCAATAGCTTAAACTCTTTATTTGCTGCGTTTGTGTAATTCGGTTTACCATGGGCAGAAACAGTTACCAATGTCGTCATACATAGAGTAGTGACGAGAAACGAGAAAATGCCAAAGAAGGATATACGGACCATTTTGAAGTACAGTTCTTCCTGTCGGTCCCCATAGACGGAACCAGCCAAATTTAAGTCATAATTGCAGACAAGATCAACAGTGCCGCTGGCAAATCACAAACGCTCACACACGACCCTCACCTAGCTTCGCGTTCAGGTTCATAGGCAGTATCTACACCCCCGCCAATAATCTGTAAAGACTGCCCTTTTCGATTCATAGGCCTACGTCTTTTTTCACCAGTGCAAAATTTTTCATTTTCGTTACTGTACAATAGCTTTTTTTGTGTGTGTCTGACCGTATACTTGCGGATTAAGTTGGGTTGGGCTTCAAATAGGGGAGGTGATGCATAGCCTTGCTGATTGTGCAGTTGAGGTTATATTTTACAATGCACGTTCAAGCCAACCTCGTTTCCAGACCTTGCTGCGCCATGTTGTTTCCCATCATGCCTTGCGTGATCTCAAAGGGGAAGCCCATACCTTGGTAGTCTGAGGATCAGACATGCAAATTTTATGCGACCCAGCCAATCTGAGTCGACTTCAGATCAGATACCGGTATGTGGACTAAGTTGTTGATTGGTCGATTCGGCTGTCATGTTTTTGTAAAACAACAACAGGTTACGGAAGACCTTATAGAAGGCGCACACTAAATGGCCGGATTCTGGATGTCATAATATGTTTTGCATAATAATAATCTTCGAAATTGCTGTGCAAGGGGATATTCCATTGACTAATACTTTGAAGGTTACTAGAATGAAAAAGAATTCAAATATGCCAGAGACAGTTTACCCGTTCCTACTGGTCAAATAAAAAGCTTCACATTTGGGTGATTTTAAATTCCTTGATTAAAACACCGGCTGGTTTTACGGTATGTGGACTATGTTGTTGATTGATCGATTCGGCTGTCATGTTTTTGTAAAACAACAACAGGTTACGGAAGACCTTATAGAAGGCGCACACTAAATGGCCAGATTCTGAATGTCATAATATGTTTTGCAAAATATTAATCTTCGAAATTGCTGTGCAATGGGATATTCCATTGACTAATACTTTGAAGGTTACTAGAATGAAAGAGAATTCATATATGCCAGAGACAGTTTACCTGTTCCTACTGGTCAAATAAAAAGCTTCACATGGGTGATTTTAAATTCCTTGATTAAAACACCGGCTGGTTTTAACTACAATACACGTACCATAGACATGGCAAGACGGGTGTTTCACAACATACGAAGTAAATTGTTGAACAAAATTGTTAGAAAAATTAAAGATTTTTCGACTTGTTTTGACTTTTTGACCGATAGGTATTTGTGAATGGCTCGTTTGGGCAGTTTCTACAGTTGCAATGCAAATTCGCCATTCGAAAAAAATATCCATTAGCTCTATTGCAAAATAGATCGAAAGACTCCAATATATTCTCGAATGCTTCAGAGAAACAAGTTTGAAAGACGGGTCAGAGCTAACTAGTTGTGACCCTTTATTGCCACGAACACGAGTATCCGATATTCAATTTCACCCATCAATAATTCCATATGATTTGAATCAACAAAAACGCCATTAGAAGCCTGATAGTTCGCCCATTCTGACCCTCACTCTAACTACAGGGGCATGCATGAAGTTACCTCGCTTGTATGTCCTTTGTTTAGGCCAAACAAAAAACGTCTCCAGTTTCTGGTATGCGCGCGCGTCGCCGTAGCCATGCGCGTCGGCAAAATGAAAAAAAAATGTCAATGAAAGATGATGTCTCAAAACCGCCAAACTCACTGGTTTGACTGGAATCCTGCTGCTGTACAATTTCAACGTGTTTTAATATGGGGTTATGATCGAGAATAAGCTTTATGTGGCCCCTCTGGACTCCCATATTTGCACAAAGTTTAGTCGGGCACCATTTGCAGTCATCAGCCGACATTTGAAGCAAAAAAAAAAAACAGGTAAAAAAAAAAAGCCGCGTCGCCGCACCACTTTTTGGGCAAGCTCCATACCAGAAACCGGAGACATTTTTTTGGGGGGCCTTATTCCATGTTTTTGATATATTACTATCCAGTTTTTGTTGCTATTTACCTGTCTGCCTATCTACCCGTACAGAGTGTGCCAAAAAGTGCAACATTCAGAAAACAAAAAACTAAAACTGTAGAATGTTTTTTCTTCCAGATCCAGAAATTAAGTGAAAGAGTGTAAACTTCAGTGCCTATTCTTTCACTT